CTGGCCCAAAGGAGGCCAAAATGGCCTCCTGGTCCTGTTGGCCCGGTCACCCTGTTACCACAGCCACTTTACTGGGCTGCCCCTCACCATGACCATAGCCCCAGGGAATTTTCCTCCTCAGAGATTGGGGGTTGGAACTCCCTACCTTTCCCTCAAGCCCCCTGTCACCAGTGTTGGGAGATAGGACCAGCTCAGCATCTGGGCCTGGGCAAGGCTGACTAGGCTGTGCTGCATATTGTCACCTTGAGAGAGGGTGCACAAGAGGCAGAGCGCACTGAGACCCAGGCTGTGGCTCAGTGGAGGGAGATATGGAGTGGACTTTTACCACACAAGTTTATTTAAATAAAAGTGAACACTTATGCAGGCTGGTGCCCGAGGGACAGGGGTGGGGAGGGGCAGGTGGGAGGCAGACGTACTGTAGGGTCCAGGCAGAGACTGTGTGATGTGAACCAGGCTGCAGGAGGGAGAGGCTGGGGGCCTTGGGGCAGTGCCCCCTAAGGGCAGGGACCTCAGGCGGGGGAGCCTGGTGCTAGGAGGTCATTTCCTTCCCTCACATGCTCCCTCCATTCTCCTTGACCCCAGGGCCTACAGCACCACCTCCTCAGCCCCCACTCCCTCACCTGACATCAGCCTTCCCCTAGACTACTGGGAAGTCAAAAGATAAAATAAATAAAAATTGGTGAGTCCTGCCCCAGCCCCCAGCCATGGGGGAAGGGAAGCCAAGCCAGGCATACTGCCCCAAGCCTGTGCTGTTAGCCCTGGAAAAGAACAGGTAAAGTGCAAGGAAAATCCAGTAAGTAAAAATATACCAATGACTTTGTCAAATATATAGCTGCTGGCTGGTGGGGAGCAGGTGGCTGGCTGGGGTGGGTGGCAGCAGCACCCTGGGAAGTGTTGGCCAACACAGCATAGAGACAACGGAAATAAATAGGGGTGGGGAGTGGGCAGGGATCCCGCCTGCTGGGCCAGTGCCACTTGAGGACAAGGATGGGCCTTTGCCCGCTCACCTGCTCCATCTCCCCAAGCCCCTCTCACCCGGCCCCGCCATGCTGCGGCACTGACACAGAGCACCCGGCCGACCTGGCTGTAAGGAAAGGATTATAATGTGGGGGGGAGGGCAGGGAGGGGAGGCACAGGGAAGCTGTGCAGTCAGCCAGGGCCAGAGCTGCCCTCAGTACTCGTCCTGGTCTTCTTGTTGGTGTTCTTCAATCTCGTCGTCTTCAGGGGGTGCAAATCCTTCCTGGAGGGTGGAAAGGGAGAGGGAAGTGGTGGGCCGGGCAGGCCAGGCAGGCCAGGCTGAGGTTTTAGGTTCTATAGGAAGCTGGGGAGCAAGGGGCCCAGAGCCCAGGAACCCAGAGTTCTAGTCCGACTTTCTCTGTTAATGGTGCTTGTGACCCTGGGCTTGTGAATTCATCTCTCTCCCCTCATCAGTAAATGTTCTCCAAGGTCCCTT